CACCCAGACCCCCCCCCTGCTCTGCGGCCCTGCTGACTCATCTCTCCCTCTGTGGAGCTCCCCAACCACAGGGGCCTGGAAGAGAAGCTTGGAAAGTTGCGCTCATGTCCCGGGCCCCTGGTCTGGCCACTACCCCCCGCCCTCCCATGCACCCAGGCCTAGCTCTTGTCTCTAGTAGAGACACTGGTGACAGAGAACACAGAGGGGACAGGAAAGAAGGCACCCAGAGACAGGGAAACAGAAAGACGGAGAGAAAGACCTAGGGGAAAAGAGATGGCCCGAATACAGATAAGAAGCCCTGAGAGACAGCTGCTAATATGGTAGGGTCCTCCAAAAGCCATGGGGTTGGGGACCAGGGAAATTCACTTCTTGGGTGGCAGAAGATCCACTCATGGCTTCGAGATATGGACACTACCCAGTGCCTTGACCTAGCATTCTGAGCCTGGGCTCGGGGAGCTCGGAAGAAGAGGATCCAATTTCTCTTCTCCTTGGGGAAGAAGGGAAGCTTTGAAGAAGCCAGTGCCTCTGTACCAGACAGCTTGGGAAGGTGCTCCCCACCCTACCACATACTACACACATTTACACACATATGCATAACTCAACTTCCTCCCACTCTGCTAGGTCTCCCTGTTCCCTCTTCTAGGAACAGCGCTGCAGGGCAGGAATCCTGGTGCTAGCCCTAGCTCCCCTTTGCTCTGAGCCTCAGTTTCCTTAGTTGACATTTGAGCCCTGAGACAATATAGCAATCCCAGAGGAGGCAGATCAGAATTAGGAAGAGAAGCACTATGGGAGGGGGAAGGAGAAGGACAGCAGGGGACAAACAGAAACAGGGAGGGAAGGGGAAGACTGAGGCCTGATCCTGCAAGGGGGGAACCTGCCCTGGGTAGGTGTTTCACATGGGTCAGCATTGAATTAAGACTCTGGTCATCTCGCCCTGGCCAGTGTGGCTCAGTTGGTTGGAGCATTGCCCTGTGCAGCAACGGGTAGTGAGTTCGATTCCCAGTCAAGGCACATACCCAGGTTTCAGGTTTGATCCCCAGTCGGGCACGTACTGGAGGCAACCAATCAATGTTTCTCTCTCACATCGATGTTTCTCTCTGTCTCCTCTCCCTTCCTCTCTCCCTGAAATCAGTGAATACGTCCTCAGATAAGGATTAAAATAATAATAAATAAATAAGTAAATAAGGTTTCTTAAAGTACTAACAACTGAAAAAAAAGACTCTGGTTATCTCAAGGAAGTGCTTCTTTGTAAAAAAGATACTACGGAATCTGAAACATGAAATATGTCTTTAAATGAAGAGAACTTGGGGTGATGGGTTCCTGATGACATCTTCTATCTTTAGCAATGAGCTGAACAACCAAAGGCAATGGTCCTTCAAAATCTTAGCCCACACCCATTTTCTCTGACCTGCTCAGATTCTTCTTGGGGCTGGATCTGAGGAACACTATTTCATTCAGCAAATGTCCAGCTTGCACCTATTTTGGGCCATGCACACAGGGCTAGGTTTAAGCACGCAACCATGACCAAGACAGACCCAGCCCCTTGCCTCACAAACCAGTAACTAACAAAGAGCAGGAAGTATCTTGAGAGAGTAAGTACTGGATGTTATTGGAAACAAAAGAGTGAATCTAAGCTGGTGCTGAGAGAATCGAGAAAGGTTTCCTGGAAGAAGGGATGACTAAGTAAAAATACTGAAGTGTCTGCCCTGTGTGGCTCAGTGGTTGAGCATTGACCCATGAACCTGGAGGTCGAGGTTTGATTCCTGGTCAGGGCACATGCCCAGGTTTTGGGCTCAATCCCTAGTAGGGGTATGCAGGAAGCTCCCGATCAATGGCTCTCATCATTGATGTTTCTATCTCTCTCGCCCTTCCTCTGCCTGAAATCAATAAAAAATATACATATTAAAAAACAAACAAAAAACAACAACCAAAAAAAAACAAACACAACAAATCCCAAAAAACTGAAGCATGAATAGGAGTTAGCCAGGTAAAGTGAGGAAAAGTGTTATTAAGTCCTGCCTCCCCCTATATGCAAAGGCCCAGAGGTAAGGGCACTTTTGAGGTGCTGAAAGTTGAGTGTGACAGGAGCACAGAGAGTGGAGGCTGATGGGGGAGGTCTAATCAGCAGTGCAAGGGATCTCAACCTGATTCTAAGGGAAACATATGGGAATATTTGTATTTTAGAAAGATGACCCTGGCTACAGAGAGGAGAATGGAATTGGGGCTTAGAGCCAGTAGTTCTGGGTAAATCAGCCATTTACTCTGGTGTAAGCTTGGGTTAGTTAACCTTCGATGCTTTAGATTCTTCTTTTTGAGAATGGGGAAACATAATACAGCAACCTCCCAGGGTTGTTACAAGGATTAGGAATAATACATGTGGAACTCTTACCACAGTGTCTGGCACTTAGTGGTTATTCCATCAGTGGTGCCCATTAGTATTGTCAAAATTTGGAGGATGGCAAAATTAGAGGCAAGGAGACCAGTTTGCTGCAGCAGTCCAGGCAGGAGGTGAGGTGCGACCTGTAGCAGCAGAGAGCATGAGAAGTCAATGGAAGCGTGATATTTAGGAAGCGGAATAGGTAGGATTTGGTGCCTGGTTGGGTGTGAGAAGTGAGGGAGAGGGAGCAGTCGAGAATGACTTTCCTTGACGTGTGTGTTTGTGTGTGCACGTGCACACGGGACGTGCAGGCATTTTATGGGTATCTATTCAGTTCTGAAAATGGCCCTTGACAATTGAATCTGGTCAACAGAGTGAAAGTGCCATGCTGTATCTGAGAACCTGGTCTCTGGCCTTCCAGAAGGACCTCTGCCCCCCCACAAACACACACACTGCTCTAATCCCTCCTTAACTATTTCCTTTCCCTCTTTTCACCCATCCCTGCCTCTCTCCACCCCCTTCGTCCTCTTCTTCTCCTTGCCTAGGAAGGAACTCCTTGTAAGTTCAGTCTGCCTAGGCCACCCTTCCCCATCCTTCATTTTTCCACTGTCCAGGTTATTGAGAGTTTTCTGGACTCAGCCACCACTACTACCACCCCCCCCCCCC